CGTCGCGCTGTGATGACGTCACGTACGCGCTTTCGTCGAGCGCGCTTTAGTCTACCGCGGTTTTGTGGTGGAACCCAATGCGATGCCCCTATGCTTTACGGCTGGGATATTTGGGTTCTGAATTGTTGGCATATTTTTCCTGAAGAAGCCACAAAGAGGGATGGCCGTTTCTGGAGATGGGCTTCTCAACTCCTCAGTATTTCACCTGGAAAAGGAGAAACTAAAAAAGGAACTCCTGCTCAGTGTCTGAAAGCTATGATTCTCAGGATACGTGAATGTTTCTATCAAACTTCTCTTCATGGTATTTTTGAACTCATTTGATGCAAGGGATGGTGCTACAACTGCTTTTTCCGATCTTTCCATCACTCCAAAGTCTCCCTGGTTACCTACATTTTTCTATGTTTCCCTCTTAACTTGCAAATAACTCCTATCAGTCCATTTCTGAAAAGGAAATCAAATAGAGTTTGCAGCTGCAATAGAGACACAGTAGTGAAAGCTGCTATATAGTGGGTTAGATTCTCCATCTAAGCCAGCCTCATCGGCACTGACTATTCATGGTCAAAAGGAAAGATTTCCTAGTGTTGTCATAACTCTTATATAAAAATAAAACAAAAACCTGACTACATAGCAGCGAAGAGTTGGGCTTTCTGCATCTCTTTTCAGCTTCTAATAGACATCCGAAATTTTGCAGCCCAGTTCTGTTAACCTTAGGACGTCCCATCCCCTGTCACTTGATTCTGGCTCCAGCATACAAGGTATATTTTGCACCTGAGTTATAACCAGCTCTGTTCACAGTCCAGTAACTGAAATAGCTACCACAGTTTTCATTGGTCATTACTACAGTACGTTCTTCTGAACACACTTACTAGAGAGCAAGTCTCAGTGAAAATAGTTAAAACTTTGCTTCCAAAGCAAACGAGTAAAGGATTCTGATGGGAAATATTGTCACAATCCTTCCAGTTTCTTTGTAGCACATTAGAGAAGAAAACAATTTTGTTTTGGACTCTTCCTGTCATTCCCCTCCCCCAGATGCTCTAGATCACTCTTAAGTCATGTCTCTTTCTACCCCCACTACCATTCCCAACACCTACTCTTCCAGCTGTGGACACAAAGTGATCTGGGTGCCTTGGAGCTGAGTTTCCCCCAGGGGACGCTGTGTAAAACTGTGCCCATTGTTGGGCAGATACAAATGCTTTTTATCCTCGGTCCTGTTACTTGAGCCACTGCTAGTGCTACCAGTAGCCAAGTCCTCCTCTTCTTCCTCCTCTTCTTCCTCCTCTCTGGAAACTGTAGCAATCGACTTGCTCTCCCCAGAGCTGAAGGCACAGAGGCATCTCTGCAGATCCTTGGAGAAAGCATGAAACTGGGAATCGGATCTCCTTGGGCAACTCAAGAGTTTTTTGAAGGCACACCTGAAGTCAGGACTGCGGCAGTAAATGATGGGGTTGAAAGCTGAGTTGACATAGCCCAGCCAGTTGAAGAAGCGAAAAAGTGGATCGGGGACGAAGGATCTTGCAAAGACCTTGATGATGTTGGCCACAAAGAAGGGCAACCAACAGAGAGTGAAGACACCAATGATGATGCCCAAAGTCTTCAGGGCTTTGTGCTCTTTGATGGCAAGCAGGAGACGGGAGGGCCTCCTTCGTCGGAAACCCTTGGATGAATCCTGAAGGAACCTCCCCTTGTCCTTTTCAATGACATGAAGTTGCCTGGTCGCGATGGCAAAGACCCGGGCATAGACAAAAATCATGACCAACAGAGGCACGTAGAAAGAGATGATGGAAGACAAGATGGCATAGGGCATGTTGGTGACAAAGTCACAGCATAGAGGATCCTTGTAACAGCGCAGGGCTTCCACATCCGCCCCATCCCTCCACCAGTGGTTCATGATGGGCAAGAAGGAGATGAAGGCAGCCACAGCCCACACCAGGCACACCACTCCCCGTGCTCGGTTCTTGGTCATTAGCATCTCATACTTCAGCGGGGCTGTGATAGCCAGGTATCGGTCCACCGCAATGACACACAAGGTCTCGATGCTGGCGGTCACACACAGCACATCCAGCGAGGTCCACAGCTCACAGAGAGTAGTGCCATACAACCAGTGGCCACTCAGGACCAGGGTGGCCCCTGGAGGCACCACCAAAAGCCCCATGATGAGGTCGGCACAGGCTAGGGAAGTGATGAAGATGTTGGTCATGGTCTGCAGGCGGGGGGTCTTAGCAATGGCCACCACCACCAGCAGGTTGCCGGCTACCGTCACCAGTACAGCCAGGCTGAGGGCAGCTCCGAGCGCCCCCTGCCGGCTGAGGCTGCTTTCCGTCCCAGAGCAATTGGTGCCGTTGCCCCCCGAACCCGCTTGCTCCGCCGCCCCCGGCCACGTCCCGTTGGGGGGCCACGGGGGAGCCATGGCAGAAAGGGCAGGCTGGGAGGGGAACGAACCTGGCTTGCCGCCCTCTGGAAGCCCGGAGTCCGCCAAAGCACCTCTCCGCGGGAATCGCGGCGGGAGTGCGCTCTGCAGGCGCACGGGACCCCCGGCCGCTGCTTAAGGCTCCACAGCCCAGCCCATGCTCGGGGGAAGACTGAAGGCGCCTCGGAGGGGCAGCACCGCCCTCCCCTCGGTGGGCACTACTCGGAGGAGGAGTTCTTAAAGGCGCAGGACTCAGAGGCGGGACGCGGGCGTTGGTCTCGGGCTCTCCCGAGCGTCTGTCCTCCCCTCCGCAGCAGGAAAGGCGCTCGCTCTACTGCCTTGCAAGAGCTTTTGACTCGCTTCGTGCAAAGCCTCTTTCAGCCCCGGCGAAAATTCACCCGTCTCGTCCCGACCCTCCCAATCTGCAGAACTCTTCTTCCTCCCTCTTCCCTGGGCACTCAAGGTGGAGGCTCACTCTTTGGAGCAATGAAAGCTGGAAGGTCCAATGGCAGAATTAAGTTACGCCTCGCTTTAGCCTCCCCAGCCCATCTCAACCCCCGCGCCTCCAAAGCAAAGACATTGGCGTTGGTCGTCCCTTTCTTCGACCAGCCCCGGCGACCGTCCTCGGTTCCTAGGCTCCCCGACCCCTTTCCAAGGTCGGGAGCGGGTGGAGGAAGAGCGGCCGCATTCACACAGCCGTTTGGCAATCGGGGTCCGCCGTTCAGCAAAATCATCTTCCCGAGCCCTGAAAATTCGTTTTATACTCCTGGCTCTCTTCGGCGCCCACTTATCGCTAAGCCAGCCTTGCATGAGAGCAGCTCCCATCAAGGGCCAGGCGAGCTAGGGATGAATGAAGGTGGAAGGGTTGAAGCTCGGCCGCCCTCGCGGTCTCTCCTCCGCTCCCTTTTGGCGTGGTAGCCCAATACATTTAGGGTTGGGTGTGGGGAGCATGGCATTGACTGAGGGGGGGGGGTGTTTTCCGTACGAGGGCCCTCTACCGTTTGCCCCTCATGCTTCTCGTAAAGCGGTTGCATTCAGGGCTGGGGTGCAAACAGGTCGTCCCCGGAGAACTTCCGACTTCAAGCCCACCGGCTTCCCCAGCTCAAAGTACCGCACTGGGGAAACGTCTGACCGGCTAGGTGTCACCTCTAATTCCACGCAACCGCTCCCGTTCTGCCCCCCCCACCTCGGATCAGTTACCTTTTTCTGTCCCCCTCCCTCTCCCCACCCTCTGATAACATCGGACGTTTCAGTCCGTGGGAAGATTCCACCGAAACTGCAGCGAGCTTCCACCGTGGTCACCTATCCGTGACCAAGCGAAGACGGAAAGTGTGTGTGGGGGGGGTTCCTCTTTCTGTCTCTCTTTGGTCGTCCCGCATTGCCTCCCCCGGCTACTGAATTATGCCATTGGCTGACTTTATTCAATGCTCGGAGCATAGTCGCAGCGTCCTAACGAATCCCGAGTTTGAGAAATGTTATACGAGTTCAGCCTCTACTGCAGATTTAACCGACTTGGTTGAGCGGGCAAGCTGTTTTTCTCCCAAATCTATGCGCAAAACCCAAGCAATCGGGAGAATGACTGGGTCCATTACAGCGGTAGGACAGCTTTGCCCTCTTTCCCCTTTTCTCTTAGGGAGAAAAACCAATTTTACAGCACCGCCCCCAAAGTAACACAATCAAACTTGCGGTCACGTCCTAATGCAGCAGGGAATGCAGGTTAGTCCCTAGTCTCTAGACACAACTGGAGAAAAGACGGTTAGTTTTTGGCAGCTGCGGGTTTCTCCCCATCACCTCAACCTCCCCTTACACCTGATGTTAAACTTGTGGGTCCAATGTCAGTCAGTAGTAGTCACATCTGGCTGAGACAAAGAGGACGTAATCTTTTCTCCCCTCCATAGAAGAATCTCCAACACAGATTCTTTCATCTCCTCATCACATTTCTTTCTTTGTGAGGAACAAGGAACCTGATCTCAGCTGGGATTAGGATGGCAGAGGACCATCTCCACGCTGGGTCTACACTTTCAAGCTGATGCTCGACCTGTCATGGTCCTGATATGTCAGGAATGGAAATGCCAAACGTTCTTTCCCAGCAAAGAAAACCTGGGCTCTCTAGTCTTCTCAAAGACTAGAAGGGGCCAACCTGCTCTAGAGAGGTTGGTGGGGAAGCAGTGACACCTTTACATTCATGTCTAGTATGGTCTCTGCCTGCTGACTATAGACGGAAAGAAAGTTCAGGAAATTGCTAACATTGCCTGTCCTAAAGGAAATCAATCCCGACTGTCCTTTGGAGGACAGATTCTGAAGCTGAAGCTCGAATACTTTGGCCATCAAATGAGAAGAGAGGACTCCCTAGAAAAGACCCTGGGAAAGATTGGAGGCAAAAGGAGAAGATGAGATGATTAGATAGTGTCACTGATGCAACGAACAGGGATTTGAGCAGGCTGCTGGAGACAGTGGAGGACAGAGGACCCTGGTGTACTGTGGTCCATGGGGTGACAAAGAATCCGGAACAACTTAGCAACTGAACAACAACAACAACTTGATTTGCGTAAAGAACTTGGCTCTTGCAAATTAAGATGTTTCGATGGTGGAGCCAAGGCTGATGTTCCTTCTCTTTTGTTTCATGCAGGATGAGGGTCATGGCAGGAAACATCTAGTTTAGTTGGTAAGAATGTCTACAAGTAACATGACTCAACTCCTTTTTACAAGTTTGTGAGTGCTCCTGGACAAGGCGGGTTGGAAAAGGAATCATCAAATAAGGACATGAAAATAAAGGGCAGAGGCTTATTCTGAGGGATTCATGCTCTGTTGCAGGATAAGCATTCCAGGCTCTTTAGGGTATCTTTACAGAACAAATGTTATGTTCTTGGAGAATGCCAGAGCATCAGGAGGCTCCAATGTTTTTGTGACAGCTGTAGCTCGTCCCAGCCGAAGGCTAGAAAATATATTGACAATAAATATATGAATGAATGAATAAGATGTACGTCTACATGCACAGGAGGAACTTGCTTGTTGGTCAAACAAAGACTTTGAAATTACTTCTTTTGCAGTCTTTCTCCACCATAACTAAAACTAGGAGCCTTTGTGTCTCTCTAGTTTTGGAGAAATTGAACACAAATGTTGTAACCAATGCAAGACAATGCAAGACAAACAAACAAACACTTACATGTTTTTTTACCCCTTCTCATTAAAGTCATTGGATGTGTGAAATGCCATCACTTTCTCTGTACAATCATCTCTCCACAGTTGGTAGCTTCTCTGGCATCTTACCTTTTTAATTAAACTCTTGAAGTAGATTTCATGGAGAACATCCTGCCATGGGAAAAATGTAGGTAACCAGGGAGATTTTGGAGTGATGGAAAGATCGGAAAAAGCAGTTGTAGCACCCTCCCTTTCCTGCATCAAAGGAGTTCAAAAATACCATGAAGAGAAGTTTGATAAAAAACATTCACATATCCTGAGAATAATTGACCCCCTTTTATAGAGAGGCAGAAATCCTGAAAAATTCCCACATAGAACTTGGTACAGCATTTATTGTAATATGGGCTTTTCTAGCACACATAACCCCATCCTGATTCATTAATGTATTCTGAGTTATCCTAAAATGAATTTTGCTTGAATTCTGAAATAACTTATTTGTAACCCTAAAATTATATTTTATTGCTCATTATAACACATCATTGCTTTGGGTAAACAGACCTCTTATCACTTAGTTTTGCTTTGATAGGATGTTTTTTTAAGCAGGCACATGGACACATAAAACCTCTGACCACAATAAATATGTTGTCGACTGGCAACTACGTGGAGGAGAGCCTTTTCAGTAGTAGCTCCGACCCTTTGGAACGATCTCCCCGTGGAGATTCGTACCCTCACCACCCT